ACCTGACCAGAACTAGATGGGTGGAAATGCCAGCATGGCAGAGGGAGATTGGACCATGGAATGGACTTGTGGGATTTCCACAAAGGAGTTGGATAGCTCCCGCTTTCTGGAATTTCAGCTGGGAAGATGAACTTTTCCTAGTTGGAATTTTTAATAAATATGAAATGGGCTCATATACCAAACAGATACACTACATTCAAGGTTGACTCAGCCTTCCATCCTTCCGAGGTGGGTAAAATGAGGACCCAGATTGTTGTGGGGGCGATATGCTGACTCTGTAAACCGCTTAGAGAGGGCTGAAAGCCCTATGAAGCGGTATATAAGTCTAACTGCTATTGCTATCTGTCTGTCTGTCTAACATTATTTGTAAATTGCCCCCAATTCTAATGTCCTCTGGAGAGCAAACAGCAGACCACAGAAAATCCAAAGACAGACAATAAAGAGATTGATGGAATCAAGAAAGACAGTTCTAAAACATTTCCCGTGGTGAATACCCACATTCACCTAGGGCCAAAGTCTTAGTGAAATGTTACAGTTTTTCACCTGGTTGCAAAATGCAAGGGGGCTTTGGGAAAAATGTATTTCAGGGTGAGGGTCTAGCACAGAGCAGCAGCCCTGGCCTTCAGTACATCTTAAATGGGGAGGGGGAATTCTCAGCAGCTTCTCTGTAGATCGGACTGGATGGACTCATTCAATCCTGGCAAGACGGTGCCTGAACACCTTGAAGCTCAATCTTCCTAAAACCATTTTCCAAGTTTGTGGTTCAGAGCTGAGAAAGCAAGACTTCATGCCAATGTTTGCAAAGCATATGCTATTGTGAACTTTAATTTAACTGTAACACTGAAATGTAATACGTGTGCATGGTATAGAAAGAATTGCAAGCAAAAATAATCAAAGATAAACTAATTAAGGTGAATAAAGATAGTAGGTTAGCTGATATGTATTAATAATGGAAGGTGAAATGATTATGCCGGGTTACGAACAAGAAAAACATTAGTTCGGAAAGTTATTAGAGGAGGGGGGGGGGAAATGGAGGGAAATACACCTAATAATATATAGTTAAAATCGTAAGATAAAATAGGGGCGCTTAATGATGTAAAAGTATGTAACAGCATTATGAGGATAGCGGGAAATTTGAATCGGTCTTGCACTGCGTCCAAAAACGAGGTTGTTACAGGAGGAGGGGAAACAAATGGAATTCGTATAAAGGTATACCTCTAAAAGAAAAACTAGCAATATGGAAAATATTTTTTTTTCTTTGAGAATACAAGTATGAATGCCATTGATATTAAATGGGGTTTGCTAAAAGGCGGAAATACACCATGTAAAATAGAGAATGGAAGGACGATAAAGAGAGGGAAAGGGAGAGAAAGGAGACAGGAGAGGGAAATAGAAGGGAGAGAAAGAGTAGGAGAGAGGGAAGGTGTGGAAAGAGAGGAGAGGGAGAGAGCAAGGGGAAGTAGAGAAGAGAGAGAGAGGGTAGAGGGAAGAAAGAAGGTAGGGAGGAGAAGAGAAGGAGAGGAGGAGAACTGAAGATGAAATAGACTAATAATATGGTGCATGGAAAGCAGAAGAGCAAATAAAAATTGAAGAGACTTAATGGCAAAAGGAATTGATATATTATTGAATACTCAAAAAATGCTTGTTAAGATGTACTGGTATACTTTGGATTATATTATATGTATCATTAAAATATATTAAAAAACCTTTGACAAAGAAAAAAGAAGACTTCATGCCAGACTAAGAGAAACAGTAAATTTTGGTTGATCTCCATGTATGGACTGCTGACTATATTTTGACTTAACTGAGGAAGATGTCCACAATCCAAGCTGATATTCTTATCATCCGATAATAACATTCCTTCTTTCTACTT